TTATGGGGTGGAATGGTCAGGAAAAATAATAGTTGATGTTTATTACCTTTCTATGTTCCGATTTTACGTGAGGATTAGAAGAGTCTATGGTTGCTACGAGATAGGCGTTTTCAGCTCCATTTTACAGAAAAAAAAGTTAAAGCTCAGGAGTTTCACTAAGTAATGACACAACTAGTAAGGGGTGGCAGGAGGCTTCATAGCCTGAGTCCAGCCTGTGCTCTTAATCATTGCTGCTTTACTTCTGGAGGAAACAGACCTTCCACTGGGACAGCCTGGACAAGAAAAATGTCAGGGGTGGGACTGATTTCATAGGTATTAGGGTGCTTCAGGTTTAAAGAAAATAGGGTTGGGAAGTCAGCCCTGGGTAGAGTTTGGAGGGGTTGAAACACGTTTTGTGTACCTGCTTGGGAGTTTTGTGGCTCACAGAAGGGTATTGCCCAGGGGTCATGCAGCTGAATTAGAACCAACCCCCTTCTTTTGGAACAGGTGCTAGACCAGAAAGAGCACAGGCTGGATGGCCGTGTCATTGACCCCAAAAAGGCCATGGCCATGAAGAAGGACCCAGTGAAGAAAATCTTTGTTGGGGGTCTGAATCCGGAAGCTACCGAGGAGAAGATCAGGGAGTACTTTGGCGAGTTTGGAGAGGTGAGTGTGTGTTCCCTACCCCACCCCCAAACCAAAACCAAACCCATTGGTCCTTGGCATCTTTGGCTTGCCAGAGTCCCCCTTAGCAGGGCTTTATTTCATTCTCTGGCTCTCATGGGCCTTTTTTCCCTGTGCTGTTCCTCTAGGCCCTGGGGCAGGGGAGGCACGCACCCTGAGCTTTGCCTGTGTTTACAGATCGAGGCCATCGAACTTCCCATGGATCCAAAATCAAACAAAAGACGAGGCTTTGTTTTCATTACCTATAAAGAAGAGGAACCTGTGAAAAAGGTTCTGGAGAAAAAGTTTCACACTGTCAGTGGAAGCAAGGTAATGTGTCCTGTGGTCTGTATGCCTGGTGTCCTGCTGCTGGAGAGCCAGCCCTTTGCAGGTGTGGGCTGTGGTAGACCAAGGTGGGCTACCTTCAAGAGCTCTCAAGAGTGGTTGGCTCTTAGTGTTTGCAGTGTTTGCTGCCCTGGCTCAGCAGGTGAATATATTGGACGAGGTGCTGGCCTTTAAGTAGCTCTTAGACGGTAGGGCTGTCAGGTAATGCTGGATGTGAGGGATGCAGGAGAGGAAGCACGGCTTCTGTGGGAAGACCATGGTCGTATTCTTTCTTGTGTGAAAGCATGGTGGGAGTGTTTTGGATATAGAGTCCAAAGTGTATGAGTCTGCAGTTGAGGCCTTAAGATTTTGTAGAATTTATACCACTCATTTTTTCCGTCTGTGGTGAAGCCTGCACTGCTGCAGGTCTTGTCTTCTGCCTCCTTTTTCCAACCAAATCTTTGTACCCCTCTATTCTCTGTGGGTAGTACTTTAGTCACTCCCCACCCAAGACAAAGGCCTTTCTCAAAGAGCCTCCGGAGACCTCGCTAGTTGAAATCCAGAGCCAGTTTTGCCTTTAAATAAATGGATTCTGTACAGTGAGAGGTGTAATTCTTCCTCCTGAACTCTTGGGGAGGTGAGGAGGAAGGGCAGTCCCACCTTCAGGTGTTCCACTAGGCAGCAGAGGAGGGGAGGCAGTTGGAAGTTGAGGGTGCGGCCTGGGCGTGGCGAGCTTTGTTACGCAGGAGTGGCAGCCAGATAAAGTGGGACAGGTAGGGTGGGGCTCCTGGAAACTGTCATCCTTGCTGGGAGTTTGGGAAGGTTGGTTTCGGGATGGGGGCTGCTGGGTGGGGCATCCTTAGTTGTTAATTACTCTCACCCCCACAGTGCCACCTCTGGCTTTTTTTTCAGCCTACCATAATGTGAAATAGGGTGGCAGGAAGAGCCTAGGGCAGTCCTAGTCAAACTGCTGGGAGTGGGTCTTGAAATAAATCTGTTTAGTTGGTTGCATTTAGCATTTCTAGCTTCACAGACTAGAAAACATCAGATTGTATCTCTTGCTCTAAGAGTAATTTGTCGATTTTTTAGGAGGAGTATGGTTGTATGAGGACACTGTAAAGTGGTTTTTATGTTTTTAATGGGGCAGGGTGTGCATCAGGCAACTTTAAAAATACACTTATTTAAGCAGGAGCATTTTGAAGGGATGCCACCCTACCCTACCCCACTCCCAAGCCAAAACCAAATCCCTTGCTGTCGAGTCAATTCCAACTCACAGTGACCCTACTGGAAAGATTATAACTGCCCCATAGTGTTTCCAAGGAGCAGCTGGTGGATTCGAACTGCCAGCCTTTGGGTTAGCAGCCACTAGGGCTCCACCTCACCCCGAGTGGGCAGATTTTTGAGCAAAAACTGATTTCTTGGGATATAGAGGACACAAGCATCTGGCCCATTCTAACAGTAGACCAGTGGTTGGAGCATGGAGGGAGAAGGGGTGGGGTAGCTGTGGCCTTACACAACCTCAATCTCTGAGCATTTGGGTTTCTTCATCTGTAAAATGGAAGACAGGATTTCCTCAATTTGGCATTTGAGGTAGTGTGTCTCATCTTTTCTCTGTATCCTCTAAGGCCGAGCCCCAGCATCCTCTCATCTGGGAAGCCTTCCCTGACCTTCTCCCCAGTAGGTGCAAGGTGGTGCCAGGCTCCAGCCTCCCCACCATCTGATGTCTTGCTGCACTGGGCTAGAACTGGCTCTGTTGCCCCTCTTTTCCTCCTTGGTCATGGAGCTGCCCCAGGGCTGAGATCACCCAGGTTTGTGGTTGTGTGTTCCTCATCCCCAGGGCATTTTTGGTGAAAGTCAAGCTTAAAAGGTCCTTGTGTTAGTCTTGGTCTGTCTAGGTGTTAATTGTTCCAAGAGCTTTTTGATTAGATGTGGCTTTCTGCCCCCAGCATACTTTGTTTTTGAGCAGATGGGGCCACCTCTACCATGTGAACATTTGTTAGTGAAGGTCTTTGTGCCAGCCCTGCTCCAAGCTTGTCCCACTGTCCTGACCCACTGTCCTCTTGGCTTTTAGTGTGAAATCAAGGTGGCCCAGCCCAAAGAAGTCTACCAGCAGCAGCAGTATGGGTCTGGGGGCCGCGGGAACCGCAACCGAGGGAATCGAGGCAGTGGCGGCGGTGGTGGAAGTGGAGGTGAGTGGGGCCTAGACGAAGATGGGTGTTATGGCCCTGCCTGGCTGGAGCCTTGTGCCTGTCTTGGGCTCGCTCTGGTCTCTGGTGCTCTGTGTGCAGCAGGGGTGGCAGGCAGAAGTGTGAGGCGGGCATGGGGCAGATTTCTGGGCGCAGCTTTGCACGGCAGCTGCTGCCACAGCTTGAAATGGAAGCGCCCCATCTTCGGTGTAGGGCCCCAGTGCAGAGTGTGTTTGCATTCTCTCACTGAGACGGGGGTAGGGGCCACGGGCTATGGGGTGTGCTTGGCTCTCTGGCTGTCCTGAGTCTTAGTACACTGGTGGGTGGGTGGGCAGGGAGGAAGGGTACAGGGTAGGGCTGTGCCAGGCGCGTCACCTCCTTCCAACCCAGGTCCCTCTGACTCCAAAGCCTGAACTCCACTGGTTTTTAGGCCAAGCTGCCAGGGAGGGTGGGGGTGATTGGAGAGAGTGAAGTGAATGAAGTTAGTGTCTGGCCTTCCAGCCCTCTGCTTGGGTCTCAGGTACAGGCCAGGCGCAGGGCCCTCTACATCAGCACAGCACAGCAGCCCCTGGCTTCTGCCTGAGTTGCCATAGTAACCCCCGCCACCCAAAGGGCAGGATTTCCTCCATCCTAGCTCCTGCGTGTGCTAAACGGTCCACGGGCCCCTGTGCCCTGCTCCCCCCACAGGTCAGAGTCAGAGTTGGAATCAGGGCTACGGCAACTACTGGAACCAGGGCTACGGCTACCAGCAGGGCTACGGGCCCGGCTATGGCGGCTACGACTACTCGCCCTATGGCTATTACGGCTACGGCCCCGGCTACGACTACAGTAAGTAGGAGAGAGGGAGGCCCCATCCACTTGCTGCCCAGGGGAGGCAGGACAGACAGCACAGAGGCCACTGGCAGCAGGGACTTTGGAGTCAGACAGGCCTGGGCTCCTGGCCTGGCTCTGCCATGGGAGCCACCTGAAGTTGAACTTTGGCTTCTGGGCCTCAGTTTTTATCTGCAAAGTGGGGAAAGTACTCCCCAACTTTCAGGGTTGTTGAGGCTCTGGAGAGGATGTGAATCAAGCGCCTGGCACAGGGTGAATAGTGCTCAGTAAGGAGTAGCCGCTCATTGCTGTTCTTGTCCCCAGGTCAGGGTAGTACAAATTATGGGAAGAGCCAGAGACGCGGTGGCCACCAGAATAACTACAAGCCATACTGAGGCTGCGGCAGGCACGACCGGCTGACTGCACCGCTCCGTTTGGGTATCAGTGAACACAATTATGTACCAAATTTAACTTGGCAAACTTTTATGGCCTGTCCCATGTGCATCTTATTTAAAAATTTCCCCCTGGAAATCACTCTCCCGTTTACTATTTCCAGAGTTCTAGTTGTGTTAGGCAGCGTGTGGTGTATCAGAGGCCGAACAGCATCATGGGCCGATTTTATTACCGAGTTCCCCAGAACCAGATTGGAGGGTCTGCGCCCAGCTGCCACTTTGCAGTCTGGGCCTGTGGACCCTGGTGGTAAAGAGTAAACTGTAACTTAGGAAACCAATGTCACCTTTTTTCACCTTTTAATTTTATATTATTTGTGTCATACATTTCCTGTAATGGAAGTGTTAATTTTACTGTACTTTTTGGTACCTTTTGGGAATCTAATGTATTGTAAGGTATTTTACACGTGTCCTGATTTTGCCACGACCTGGATATTGAAGCTATCCAAGCTTTTGAAATAAAAATTAAAAAACCCCCAGGCCTGGGTGAGTGTGGGCTGTACTGTATGAGACCTTCTGCCCAGAGTTGTGGGTGCCAAGTGCCCCCCTTCCCCAGCCTGAGCCCTGGCCTCCTTCCTCAGCACCCTCTTCCAGCTACTGGGCCCCACCTTGGGTGTGGAGCTTGGGAGTACCGGCTGCTGACCTTTTCGAACTGCAGTTCCTGGTCTGAATGTTTGTCCCCTGTCTAAAGCATACAACTGTCAGGCACAACCACATGAACCCACTTCCTTAGGCCAAGAGTTTTCTTTAATGAAGGAAAAATCCTGTGTCTCCGGTCCTGAGCCCCTTTCGAAGAAAGGAAATGGGCTGGCGGTTTGAAGCTGCCGTGCAGTGTCCCCCAACGCTGTCTCCTACTACACAGTACCAGGTTGTGGCTCCAGTCTCTGGGGGCAGCATGGGGCCCCCAACTGAACCAATGGGAATAGGATTCTGTCTTTTTCAGCAATGAGTGTGGACCTGCAGACAAAAAAAAAAAGGCAGGGTCAGGAGCTGGCCAGACCTGGGAGTGACGGGTGCCGCTCCCTGGTCAGGGCATTGGCTGGCTGGGTTGGGGAACCCTAAATCCAGGAGTTGAGGCCTGAAACAAGCTGGTTGCAAGAGGCAACAGGGTTGGGGCTCCTAGTGGACCGAGCACTGGGAAGAGTTGTTTCCTCACCCCAGCAGGGGGTGGAAGAGGTGTTCAAGAGGTTTTACTGGTGGCGGGGGGAGAGAGCCTGGGACAGCCCAAGCCGCCTCCGCTTGTTGAAGAAACTATCCTGGGGGAAGGAGAAAAAACGTAAATCCTAATGAAAATTCTTTACAAAGAAAAGCAGTGAAGGAGGTGCTGCTCCTGGTAAGGTGTCCACCTGTAGTCCTGGAAGGCAGGCAGCCCACCCTACTCACCTCAGGGGCAGGACACCTGAAGGGCAGGGCAGGGCTGCAGCCTCAGCGTGGCACAGGTTCTCAGCACCTCCTCCATGTCTGGAAAAGACCACAAAACCACCAAACTCTACTACCCTTTTTCCCTGGCTGAAGACCCTGTTGCCGTCAGTGTTTTCTTGGATGTCAGCTCAGTGATTGGGCTGCAGGCCTGTCACGTTCTCATGTCCCACCACTTAACCCACATGGCCAGGAGAGCTTAACTCAGTCCTGTGCTGGTCAGCTTTTCTTCCCTAGGCTTCCCACATCCCTCTCCCTGCTCAATGCCTTCCCCTTAGAGTCTAGTAGGGGTCAGGCCTTCTTCAGCTCCTGAGCCCTGGGCTGATGCCCCTGTGGGCAGTGATGAAGTAACCCAGAGTACGGGGCCCCGTCACTGGCGATGCTCTGATCCCTACCCTGAGATTGGATTTGCCTGTTTTGGGTCTCACTGAACTCTGTGGGAGTGCCAGGGTGGTACAGATGGTCAGTGCACTTGGCTGCTAATCAAAAGGCTGGTGGTTTAGTCTACCCAGAGGCACCCTGGGAAAAAAGGCCTGGTTATCTGAAAAATTAGCTACTGAAAACCCTTTGGAATTCTACCGACACACGTGGGGCTGCCATGAGTCAGACTGATTTGATGGCAATGTTTTTTTCTCACTGATCTTTGCACAGGTGGCCTATACTCAGCACAGACAGCTTGACAGTTCAGGGGTCTCAACAGGCTCAGCTTCAGTGCATATGGCCCTGCTGCCCTCATCCTGTGTCCCACACTGGTGCATGCCCCATGCTTGGGAGCTCTTCAGGGCACCCTGGCTCAGCAGTTGGGCTCTCCTGCCCCAAGGTCTAGTTCTAGGGGATGAATGGTCAGCTGCCCACCCACCCCCAGGCTTGCAGGCTCCAGCTTACCGGTCAGTACAGCATCTAGCGTTGCCACCACGTGACGTGCATCATCCAGACTGAAGCACATTGGGGGCTTAAACTTGAGGACATTCCTCCCGGGGCCGTCAGTGCTTAGCAAAATGTAGTTCTTCTTCAGTCTGTGAGGACGAGACACAGCAGGGGCCCTGACGGCCACCAGCTAAGACCCACATCCCTTCGAGGCCTTTCCTAGCCTGACTTTAGCCACCTGCACTGGCTACCCCTGCCCAACTCCTGTTCATCCTTCACAGCCTTGCCCTGGGTGTCCTTTGCCTGCTGCCCACTCCCTTTGGCTGGGAGCCCCCAGGACGGGGGCCTCACCTCATATGTCTGTAAGCCAAGTCATAGGCAGCCACATTGACTGTAAAAAGTATTAACCTTTCCTACCTGTGTGGTCCATTTTTCTGAGTGGTCTATGTGGCTGCTTAGAGTGTGGTTTACTAAAAAGTAAATGTAAAAACATGGGACAAGTCGGACACTTGATAGATGGTATAACAAGCCATTGTCTACCCTCATCTGGCTTCACTAACCTGCCAATCTCGCATCTCTTCCCTGCATCCCACCATTTGTACCTGAATCATTAACATTCGATGTTTACACTTTCAATCTAGTGTAAAATACTCTGGCCATTGAGAGAAGGGGTCTCACGTGATTGTATTTACATTCTGTGCCCCCTACTCCATATTTGCTATTATTTATTCCTTTTTATATTTAAGTCTTGTCAGGAGTGGGTTTTGTCCTCAGCTTGCCTTTGGGATCCTTTCTCCAGGCCATTCTTCCCAGCACTGACAGTGGCCATGCTAGAAAGAACACGGTTTGGACTTTGGAGTTGGACAGCCCTGGGTTCAAATCCCAGCTTGGCCACCTACATGCGGGGCACCTGCCGGTGAAACACCTGCCTTGAAGGCCAGTGTCCTCCCGGTCCTGGAGACCCAGCCCCCAGGGTGGCTGTGAGGGGAGCAAGCAGTCCTTGCTGGCTCCCTCCTTCCCAGCAGAGGTGGCAGTTCAGAATCCCTGAGGCTGCCTGGGAGAAGGAAGGGTGAGCTGGTGGATGTGCCTTTCTCATGTGGCGCTGGCACACACAGGCCACGGACTAGATGGCTGCTTAGGATGGGGCCCAGAAGCTGCACCGAGGGAAAGGTAGACGACAATCCACATGAATTAAAAACAAAATGATTGACATTTCATAGTTCAAAAAAGGACACATCAAACACTAGAAGGGTTTTCAGTGTTGGGGACATACAGGGTAAGGGGGCAGAGATGGGAGTGGAGACAAAAAGGAATCAGGATTCTGGAGGCGTCTAGGGTTCAAGTGAGACACGCAAACCAGCGTGGGATGGATCCAAGACACCCCCAGCCCAGACAGGGACCTGGAGTCCTGCCCACCCAACAACCCACTGCCGTGGGGTGAGGTGCTGAGTCTGGTTGTGCTACTGCCCAGCGGTGTGACTGCAGAGCTGCCTCCCTTCGGAGCCCTCAGTCCAGGGTTTGTGGGATCTGTGTCCCTCTAGCTTTGGCATTCTCAGCACAGCAGCGTGCTTGGGGCCTGGATCGGTTCCTGCCTTCACTCCCAAGTCCTTGGTGTCAGGAACTGGGTGCAGACCAACTGGGCCACTCATGCATAGGTTGGCCGGCCGGCCAGCCCTGCCCCCACCCCCGCCCTGCTGCGGCAGCCCAGACACTGCACCCAGTCCAGGAGAAGGAAGGAGGGAGGCTCCTTCCCAGTTGGTCCTAGGCTCTGCAAAGAGGCCCTGCTGTATTTCCTCCAGAAGGCAGCCTTTTTCAAGGGAAAAATACCTGGAGACCAAGTAGTCGGCCTCTTCAGTTGCTGGCTTCCTCGTGGCCTCGTCTCTGATAAGATCCACACCAATGAAGAGCCCGACTCCCCTGGAGCAGAAGGTGACATCTCCTAAGGCGTGGCTAGCCCCAGTCCCAACTCTCACCCTCTGCCAGGGCCTTGGCCACACTTCTTGTAGGAAAGCCCACCAGGGCTCGCACTTCTACCTTCTGGGGAAGCTGAGAGCCGCAGGGCGGCATTGAGGAGAGCCTCTGGAGGGGAGTGAATGGTTCCAGGGAGAAACTGGGACAGGGAGGCTGGCCTCTGTGTGGACAACAACAAGAGATTTGGGGGCCAGACAGCTCAGTTTGAATCTTGGCTCTTCCCCCACTCTAGAAGTGTCATCTTGGGCAACTGCACCTCAGGGCCTCAGTTTCCTCCCGTAGAGATAAAAGTCCCCGCCATCCTAGGCTTTGATTTATGAGGGAAAAGGAGACGCTGACCCTGCCAGGCCCTGGCAGGTGCTCCGTTAGTGGTTGGTGACTTCTACCCCCAGAGCCTCACCTGACATCCCCGATGATGGGATGCTTGGCTTTCTGCTGCCTGAGGCGCTCCATCAGGAAGCTGCCCACATGGGTGGCATGAGCCTGGAGCTGCTCCTTCTCCAAGACCTCCAGGACGGCAAGCCCCACAGCGCAGGACACGGGGCTGCCCCCAAACTGGGCCAAGGACAAAGGGCACGTCAGACCTCAGCAGAGTGGGCCATGCCACGGAGGTGAGCGGAGCAGGATGGCCACGCCCACTCTTGGGGGAGCACAGGCCTCTGACCCCTCAGAGTTCAGAGTTCTCAGCATAATGGGATTCTCCTGAGACCCATATTGGCTTCCCATCTTTCCAGATGCTAATGTGACTGTAACCCAGGTCAGGTACCCTCAGGGGAGCAGTAGGAGTCCCAGGGTGTACCTCACATTCCCACAGAGGCAGTTTTTGCCAAGAGAGGCTTCAGGGCCCCATCTCATGGGTAGAGCCCACACCCACAGCATCAAACTACTTCCCATCACCTCCTGCAAGGTGGGGTCAACAGCAGCACGCCAGAGCCACACCTGGGAAAAAGCCACTGTGTGTGGATTGAGCTCATGGTTCTGTTGGTTGAGCTCAGGGCAGACTTAAGGGCACCAGGTGCTGATGCCTGGGAGCCATACCAGGCCTGTGGGCCCACTTTGGTACTAACATTTTAAAATAACAGACTTGACACTAAAATCTGTATTTCTGACTTAAAAAATACCCTGGCATATCCAACTACACTGGGCTCAACACCACTCAGCTGTTTTCTGTATGCACCCAGAGTGCTCTGACTCATTTCCCTCTCCCGCCTGGCCCCGCAAGTGTCTGAGTTGAGATTTGCTTTTAAAGGATCTAGAGCAAGGGCGTCTCCTGCAAACCATGTTTTCTTTTTCTTTTTTTGAATACAGCTTAAAAAGCATTTGAGGAATAATTTATATATAGTAAACTGCAAAATTACCACTACAATGAAAACATTTCCATCACCCCCAAAAGTTTCCTCCCTCTACTCCCAGCCTCAGGCAACCACAGATCTACTTTCTGTTACTATAGTTTTGCCTTTTCCAGAATATCAAATAAATGGAACCATATGGTGTTATGGATTGAATAGTTTCCTCCCCAAATAAGTGTTGAAATCTTAACCTCTGTAACACCTGTAAATATGACCCTGTTTGGAATTAGGAGTTAGGTTAATGAGGTCATATCAGAGTAGGGTGGGTCCTAAACCTAATCACTTCTCAGTTATAAAAAGAGCAGAATAGACAGAGCAGAAGAGACACACAGGGGAAACATCAAGGAATGCCAAAGAACTTCCAAGGAATGCCAGGGACCTCATAGGGCTACCAACAAGGAAGGAACTCCCCCTAGAGCCACACCCTGAACTTGGACTTCTAGTTTCCTGAAATGAGAGAGAAATTCCTATTCTTTAAAGCCATCCACTTGTGGTATTTGTGTTACAGAAGCACTAGATAACTAAGACATACAATATGTAATCCTTTGTGTCTGGCTTTTTCTGCTCAACATGATGTTGAAATTTATCCATCTTGTATCAACAGTCCATTCCTTTTTTATTTTTATTTTTTTTTGCTGCATAGTATTCCATTCTGCAGACATACCACAATCTACCAGTCTCCTTTTGATGGACCCTTGAGTTATTCTGAATTTATGGCTATTATGAATGATAATTCTATGACCATTTGTGTACAAGTCTTTGTGTAAACGTATGGTCTCATTTCTCTTGGGAAATACCTAGGACTGGAACTGCTGAGTGGCATGATAAATCTATGTTTAAAAACTTTACAAAAACTGCAAAATTGTTTTCCAAAGTGGTTGTACCATTTTACATTCCCACTATCAGTGTAAGAGAATTCCAGTGGCTCCACATCCTCACCAACACCTGGAATTGTCGGTCTTTTTAATTTTACTCATTCTAATGGCTATGTGTTCAGCTAATACCAAAGATGAAGAAATTGAAGATTTTTATCAACTTCTGCAGTCTGAAATTGATCAAACAAGATGCATTGATAATTACTGGTGATTGGGAATGCAAAAGGTGGCATCAAAGAAGGATCGGTAGTTGGAAAATACGGAGTCAGTGATAGAAATGATGCTGGAGATCACATGATAGAATTTTTCAAGACAAACGACTTCATTGCAAATACCTTTTTCAACAACATAAATGGTGACTATACACGTGGACTTCGATGGATGGAATATATAGGCATCAATCAAATTGACTACCTCTGTGGAAAGAGATGATGGAGAAATGTAATATCATCAGTCAGCACAAGGCCAGGAACCAACTGTGGAACAGACCGTCAGTTGCTCATATGCAAGTTCAAGTTGCAGCTGAAGAAAATTAAAACTAAGTCCAAAAGAGCCAAAGTATAACCTTGAGTATATCCCACCTGAATTTAGAGACCATCTCAAGAACAGATTTGATGCACGAAACACGAATGACCGAAGAGCAGACGAGTTGTATGATGACATCAAGGACATCATACATGAAGAAAGCAAAAGGTCATTAAAAAGACAGGAGAGAAAGAAAAGACGAAAATGGATGTCAGGAGAGACTCTGAAACTTGTTCTTGAAGAGAGAAGCAGCTAAAGCAAAAGGAAGAAATGATTACATAAAAGCACTGAACAGAACATTTCAAAGGGCAGCTCAAGAAGACAAAGTATTATAAAGAAATATGTGAAGACCTGGACTTAGAAAACCAAAAGGGAAGAATATGCTCAGCATTTCTCAAGCTGAAAGAACTGAAGAAAAAATTCAAGCCTTGAGTTGCAATATTGAAGGATTCTATGGGGAAAATATTGAACGATGCAGGAAGCATCCAAAGAAGATGGAAGGAATACAGAGAGTCACTGTACCAAAAAGAATCGGTTGATATTCAGCCATTTCAGGAGATCAGGAACTGATGGTACTGAAGGAAAAAGTCTAAGCTACACTGAAGGCACTGGTGAAAAACAAGGCTCCAGGAATTAATGGAATACCAATTGAGATGTTTCAACGAACAGATGCAATACTAGAAGTGCTCACTTGTCTATGCTAAGAAATTTGGAAGACAGCTACGTGGCCAATCAGCTGGAAGAGATCCATATTTGTGCCCATTCCAAAGAAAGGCGATCCAACAGAATGCAGAAATTATAGAACAATATCATTAATGTCACACGCAAGTAAAATTTTGCTGAAGAGAATTAAAAAATGGTTGCAGCAGTACATCAACAGGGAACTGCCAGAAACTTAAGCTGGATTCAGAAGAGTACGTGGAACGAGGGATATCACTGCTGATGCCACATGGATCTTGGCTGAAAGCAGAGAATACCAAAAAGATGTTTATGTGTGTTTTATTGACTATGCAAAAGCATTCGACTGTGTGGATCATAACAAATTATGGATAACACTGTGAAGAATAGGAATTCCGGAACACTTAATTGTGCTCATGTGGAACCTATACATAGACTAAGAGGCAGTCATACAAACAGCACACGGGGATACTGAGTGGTTTAAAATCAGAAAAGTTGTGTGTCGGGGTTGTATCCTTTCACCATACTTATTCAATCTGTATGCTGAGCAAATAATCTGAGAAGCTGGACTATATGAAGAAGAACCTGGCATAAGGATTGGAGGAAGACTAACAACCTGCGATATGCAGATGATGTCCTTGCTAGCTGAAAGTGAAGAGGACTTGAAATACTTAATGATGAAGATCAAAGACTGCAGCCTTCAGTATGGATTACACTTCAACATAAAGAAAACAAAAACCCTCACAACTGGACCAATAAGCAACATCATGATAAATGGAGAAAAAATTGAAGTTGTCAAGGATTTCATTTTACTTGAATGCACAATCAACACCCATGGAAGCAGCAGTCAAGAAATCAAATGACGTAGTGCATCGCGCAAATCTGCTGCAAAAGACCTCTTAAAGTGTTAAGAAGCAAAGATGTCACTTTGAGGACTAAGGTGTGCCTGACCCATGCCATGGTATTTTCAGTTGCCTCATGCATGTGAAACCTGGACAATGTATAAGAAGACTGAAGAAGAATTGATGCCTTCTCATTATGATGTTGGTGAAGAATGCTGAATATACCATGGACTGCCAAAAGAACGAACAAATCTGTCCTGGAAGATGTACAGCCTGAATGCTCCTTAGAAGCAAGGATGGCGAGACTTTGTCTTAAGTATTTCGGACATATTAACAGGAGGGGTCAGTTCCTGGAGGAGGACTTCATGCTTGATGAAGTAGAGAGTCAGTGAAAAAGAGGAAGACCCTGAATGAGATGGATTGTCACAGTGCTGCAACAATGGGCTCAAACATAACGATTGTGAGGATGACACAGAACCGGGCAGTGTTTTGTTCTATCGTACATGGGGTCACTATGAGTCAGAAATGACTAGATGGCACCTAACAACAACCACAGTGGGTGTGTAGTGATATCGTGGAGACCATTTGAAAATTTGAATGCACAGCCCCATACCTGCGATCATAAAAGTGTCTTAGGTAATTCTGCTGTGAGGTAGCTTTCTGATGTGTCCAAGATAAAGGGGAAGGATTTAAGCTACTTACTACAAGTTGTTGTTGTTGTGTACTGTTGATTCAATTCTGACTCACAGTGACCCTACAGGACAGAGTAGAACTGCCTCATAGGATTTCCTAGGCTGTAATTTTTACAGGAGCAGATCGCCAGGTCTTTTCTCCCATAGAGTGGCTGGTGGGCTCAAACTGCTGACCTTTTGGTTAGCAGCCGAGCACTTAACCATTGGGCAACCAGAGATCCTTACTTACTACATAAAATTATTAACTGTGATCTAGTTAAAAGGTAGGAGTGTCCACTACTAATAGCAACTTGGTTTAGAATCATGACCTGACCAAGGTGCTGAAATAGTACAACTGTTGAGCTCCTTCCTCCTTGATCATCCCAGAGGAAGCTGTGGGGAAACCCTGTTTTTTTTTTTTCTTTTTTTTTTAAACTCTTACATGTGGAGTGGTGGCTCTGGCCTAAGAGGCACTGCAGCTATGGTTAGGGGAAGCTAAGATAGGAGAGAACTGTTGGATTTTACTCTTGTTGTCTTCCTATTCCCACTCCTGCAGTGACTCAAGACTCCTGATCCTCATGCTCCCACACTCCTGTCCCTACAATTCCCCAGCTG